AAAGAACAATCTTCAGATCTCAGCATCCTGAGTAGAGAGAGTTACAGGCATGAGCCATCAGCCAGAGTTACATCACTGTACTCTTTATGTAGTGGTCCAGTCATGACCTGTTCAGATGAGGGCCTTTGGGGTTCAGAGCTGCTTCAATCTTATTATACTAATAAACAGCAAGGAATGAGCCATCCCAATATCACAGGAAGCATCCCGATAGTCACGTTCTAGTGAACTGTTTACATATCAATTTTATGTCTGTGCAGTGATTGGAACAAAAAAAAATGTAAATCCTGGAAGAGAGAGAATCAATCGCACAAATTCCATCATAAAATTTACAAGCATGAGTGAAACCTGTTACAATATTAAACATTAATATGCTTAATAAAAAAAAGATAATTATATACTCAAAAAATACTATTCTCAAAGCAGTTTTCACCAATGTTTCATGAATTCAGTTAATGCTGCCTAATTCCCTCCTGAAGCAATATTTCCAATACAAATAATAAAACTCAGCTCTTTCAGGACTTATATAACTTGGCTGTGCTCACAGAGTAATTAATGAAATTGCTCAATGCTTGATAAGAAAGGTACTCATGACCTTGCTCATGTCATTGTAACCCCTATGTACAGTATTTTCACAATAAAAAACTTATTTTTTTTTAAAAAGAAATTGCTACTGGACAATATTAGTGTGCTATTGGAGTGATTTTTTTTTTCCGTTGGTTGGTGTTTCGGTGGAGCCTTTAAATAGTCATTATTTCATTGAAAGAAGTTTTAAAATTCATCTGCCTGTCAATCACCATTGAGTCAACAGAAAGAATTGTGAGTCAGCCCCTGGACAGAATCTGGTGATATTTCAGTGATATTTGTTTGTTCCCTTAGGAGCTGTCTATCACTTAACTCCTTCTAACAGAATAACTTGTGAATAACAATGCTCAGTGCATATTTTCTCCTAAACATCACTCTTGTGTCAAGAACTGTTAGTTCTCTGACACGTCAAAATCCCATGAATGCAATGGCATATATCACAATTGTTACTGTCCATCTAGTTCCAAAGCTCTGTGACTACTTCCTTGATGGGCTCAATTAAGTGCCAAATTAAATGGCATGTCAATTTCCTAGACAGATGACAAACATTTTCTTCACAAGAAGAGAACATCGGTTGTCAGGCTTTGGTGGAAAAAGAATGATGTCTGAGTAATAGATCAGTTGGGAGATTGAAGATCACTTCCTGTCCTGCCATACCTGACTCTGCAGCGGGGCGTAGCATGGGAGTGGACACCAGGGCTCCTGCAGTGTGCCCAGAGGAATGAGGATTCTCATGTTAGAGGAACTAGTGTGACCAAGTAAAGAACTGACCTGTACTATTACGTACTATTATTAAAATCTCACTACATCTACCTTATGGAAAGTCCCATGGACCCTAAGCAAAAAGCACATGCACTCTACAAGAATAAAGGATTGACACACTTTCACCTCCTAAGCCATCATCATGACAATATGGCAGTAACTGCTTATGACTGCAATTTCAAGAAAAAAAATCAAGTTCTTGTGTCTATTTAGTTTCTTTTTATTGCTACGCTCTTTTTTTCACATTTCATCTTAAATTTGTCATCTCGTTTTGTTTCAGGGGAAATAAAAGTTCAGGACTGCAATGCAATATTCACTAGGTAATTTGTAAGAATGGATCATATGTGTGTATAATGAGTTTGAACACCAATGTAGAAGAGGAAAAAGCAAGTCATTTTATTTTAGGATTCTTTAAGAACCCTATTTGGAATTAGGTGTAGAAATTTATTATGGTATTCTAGCACATGTTTTTAGATGTCCTATTTATAGGCAAAATTCAATAAACTTGATGTTGGAAGAATGTTGCTAATAAGTATGGTAATCTATCTTATGTATGTCAATATATAAAATTGATCAGGTATTTTGTTGAAAGTAAGTCATGCACTGGTGGCTCATGCCTGTAATGTAATCCTGGGAGATCAAAGATCAAAGCCAGACCAGGCAAAACAATCTGCAAAGTTCTATCTCCGAAATAACCAGGAAGAAAAAAAAACAGAATGAAAGTATGACTGAAATAGAAGATTGCTAGCCAAGCAAGCAAGCAAGCCAAGTAAGTACAAGGCCTTGAGTTCAAACACCAATACTGTAAAATAAAATAATATTTTTAAGAAAAAGTAAGTTTAGCTGGGCACCGGTGGCTCACACCTGTAATCCTAGCTACTCAGGAGGCTGAGATCTAAGGATTGTGGTTCAAAGCCAGCCCGGCAGGAAAGTCTGTGAAACTCTTATCTCCAATAAACCACCAGACAACCGGAAGTGGCACTGTAGCTCAAGTGTTAGAGTGCTAGCTTTGAGCTGAAGAGCTGAGGGACAGCATTCAGGCCCAGAGTTCAAGCCCCGAGACCGACCAAAAAAAAAAAAAAAAAGAAAGAAAGAAAAAAGTAAGTTTTCCATTCTTCACAGTTACAGAGAGAGACTTGGAAATGACATTAGAAAAATGGAAGTTAATTCAGGGATACAAATTGTTTTGTGACATTCAAAGAGTAAAGCCTTCAGTAACACTTAATGGACACAGGTGAAGGAGGAAGGGCAGAGTGTGTTGTCATCTGGTTTTGTTCAGTTCTGGTTGTTTGGGAATGTTGTGTTGGGCAACACTTTGGACCCTTCTTAGAATTAGAAATAAATGTATAAAATGCCTGTGGGAGTTAACAACTAGTGATTTGAATTCTGACAGTATCCTTTTATATTCTATTGAAAAAGCCACCTACGGAAAGGTATTCTGGAATGAGTTTAATAGGAGAACACTAGAAATAAAAATGCCAGGAAGATGAAACTTTTGGGGACAAGATTCCAGTTCAGCCCAACCGTACCATCCTCCTTAAATTATATACCACTGTGAAGTCTAGTTCACAAGTTGTTCTGATCATGTGCAAATTATACACAGATAAGAACTCATACATTCCTTTCATCTCTGAAAGGAATAGACCTAAAAGGTGCAGGGTGTGTGTTGGGGGGGAGGGCAGGGAAAGACAAAAGAGATACATAACACTTTCAGGAACACACACCTGCCATTTTATAATCATCTCCTTGGGTTGGGAAGCTTGAACTCTTATGTTTTGGGGATTCTTATCTGGAGCTGAAAAAAACAAATGACACACATTAGGTTTATTTTTCTCACTGCACATTGACTAAAAAGGAAAATATTTTATTTGTTCCTCAACAGACACTTAAATAACCCTGGCTATATTTATTGATCTTAATATAGTCTACTGTTTTTAAAAAAGACTTAAGGCAACTTTATGACACATGTTATATTTAAAACAACAAAATATTGGTCCCGGGTGTAATATAGCTAACATCCAGCGAATCATACAGGGTTTGTTTTGCGTATCTGAGATTCAAACCTGCAGGTTAAAATAGTACACCTACTGTTTGAATGTGTTTTCGTTCTAAACTGGCTCTACTTTTTAATTAAGAATTGCGGATAGACATAGATGCTGAGATCTGCCCCTAGGAAACCAAAATTAAACGCCTGTCTTAAAATCAATAGGCAACTTTTAGTGGCAGCCAAAAGGAAATAGTATGGGGCTGGGAAGGTGGCTCAGTGGTAGAGCGCTTGCCTTGCATGCCTAAGGCCCTCAGCACCACATAAGCAAAAAGAAAAAAAGCCGGAAGTGGTGCTGTGGCTCAAGTGGTAGAGTGCTAGCCTTGAGCTGAAGAGCTGAGGGACAGCACCCAGGCCCAGATTTCAGGCCCCAGGACCGGACCCCCGTCCCCCCCCCGAAAAAAAGGAAATAGTATGGAAGATTTTAGTAGAAAGAGCTAAGAGAGTTTTGTGAAGCACTCAATCAAATCTACATACACTAAAATGTACATTTCACAAGTATTTATTATCTTTATTTTTGTCTATTGTGGGGTTTGAACTCAGGGCCTGGGTCCTGTCCATGAGCCTCTTTGTGCTCAAGGCTAGCGCTCTACCACTTGAGCCAAAGCATCACTTCCAGGTTCTTGCTCTCATGAAGATTTTTCTACTTGGGCTGGCTTCAAATCATGATCCTTAGATCTCAGCCTCCTGAGTAGCTAGGATTACAGATGGGGCAACCTGCTCTATATTATCTTACTTTGCTCTTTCTCAGCCCAAAAAGAAATTATAACACAGCAGGTAATGTATCTATCACTCAGGAAAACCAATAGATATCATGTTATGGCCACAATGAAAACTGAAGCCAATTCAATAGCACCAATTATTTGAGGAAGACAACACATCCTAGGCAATTTATATAGATCCATCACTACAAATGTGAATATTATAGTCATGTTGAACATGCAGCAAGGTGTCACAATGAAACCCAAAGTTTTATTTCAGAAAACAGAATGCACTTGCTTTATGACACACCACTTAAACACGTTCTTAATTGTTGACAAGAATTCATATCACTGTCTTTCTATGCCACACTTCCCTAAATGTCTTGCTATCAAAACTCTTGGTAACACTTCTGAAACTGGTGCACTTTGAATAGTGTGTGTGACTTTAGTTTATATGATTGAGCAAACAACAATTCTAACATCCTATAGTACTTATTCAACTTCCCTCCCTTTTTCTCCCCCTATTTTTTCTCTTCTTTTGTTCATCTGTCTGTCTGTCTGTCTGCTATCTGTGTCTCTCTCTCTTTTATACTTTCTTTACTTTCTTAGATCGCAAGATGTAGCCAAAGTAGAATTAGTTAGTACTGGAGGACAGAGCCCCCTTACCTGCTGGCGGGGTTTCATGCTGTTCTGAAGGCTGGCTGGGCTGACTCCTCCCTACTTCATTCACAGCCAAGACCCTGAACTGATATCTCACGTATGGAGCCAATGGTAACACAACCGTGGTTTCCTCTGCTCCGACCCTTGTCAGTTCCTCCCATCTTCCGGGTTCCTCTCTGTTTCCTTCGAATTCTACAATGTACTCTGGCAGGAAGAACACAACACACCTTTAGAACCTACTGCAGAGGCTGAGACTTATACACACTCTTACAAACTTACAAGAGTGGTCTAAGAGTGATAACGCGCCCAGGAACGTGGGGGAAAATGGCCATCATATTGATTGGACTCTATTGGCTATAGAAAAAAAATCATTATTTCAGTTTTCCTACCACTAATATTGCTATTGCGGTCATCTCCAGCTTCCCATGAGAGCCGGACGCTCCTGTTCTGTCTCTCTGACAAGTGGAGATTCGTTGGGGGATCCGGAACATCTAATGAAGAATAAAATACACAAAAGTAAGGAGGTGCAGATCAATGCCTTGCTTCCCTGATTCTCTCCGACACAGTGCTGGCCTCTGTGGGCCCAGGTCTCCATCTGACCTGCTCATATTTCAGCAGGGCCAGCCTCCAGTGTCTGCTCCAAATGTAGCACCCTTCTGTCTCTTCACATCTTGCCTCTATCATTTTTCCCCCTTCCTTTTTTTTCTGATTGCAGTTCCCAAGACTCATTCCATTTTAGTTGTTTATTTATTTTTGTATATTAGGACTTGAGCTCAGGGGCTGGGTGTTATCCCTTAGCAGTTTTTTTTTTCCCCTTAAGGCTGGCTGGTGCTATACCCCTTGAGCCACACCTCCACTTCTACCTTTTTCCTTTTGGATGGTTAATTGGAGATAAGAGTTTCACAGATTTTCCTGCCAAGGCTGGCTTTGAATGGAGAACCTCACATCTCAGCCTCCTAGGAATGAGCCCAGTTCAAATATGAACTGAGGGCACTAAATGTTGCCTTCAGAGTAATGTTTAGCAATCAAGTTTCCTAGTTTACAAGAAGGAGCTAAGCCCAGGAATCTGCATTTGCAGACACATTTTTTTCCTGGCTGAAGATTACACACAGGAAGTGTGTCGAAAATGGGTCATTTAGCTTGCTGCAGCTAATTTATTTGCTACCTTCTCCTATAGGAGAATAGAGGAGGCAGAATAGTAGAGGAGTAAGTAAGGATCATTATCTTATTAGCCTTTGCATTGTCCAAGGTGTTTGGCATTTAAATGTTTGTTTGCATAACATGAACTCTACTTTTCTTTGAATTTTTATGGTAATATATAAAAACAGCATTTTCAGAACATAAGAGCAATGTCTCAATCCAGAAAAGAGTAAGTAAGCAAGTTTATGTGGGAAGAAGCAGATGGACTAAATGTGAGAGAAGTTGCTATACTGACTAGGTGAGGACAAACAGTTGAGTGTCGGAGTGTTGCTAAGGCACATGGAAATTTCTGGAAGTTTCCAAATAAAAAGAGTAAAATTAATTAACATCTCAGGTGAAACTTACTGCCAGAATTTGTTCTAATGTTCTCAAGTCATTCATGTTTGTTCAGAGGAGTTTCTAAAGCCTGTTTGCCCATACTGAGTATTTCAATTTTTGGAACTATTTATTGACTAACAGCCTTGCTTCCAATTTAGAATAGAACATGCATATTTGTAAAGTGTGGAATATGACTGTGTCCAATGCTAGATCTAGACTAGCAGGTATTTCCTCAAGAGTTTTTCTGAATCTCTGAGTTCAGAGAATGTATATTTCTCTTTAGCATGTAATAAGGACTCACTATATCCTGAGGTTTCCTGGAACAAGGAAAGCAGAATATTGTAACACATGTCTCTGAGATTCATGCAAACTTATCTTTAATTAACGTTCAACTCAGACTTGATAAAATGTTATTTTCACAGCCTTTTAATATTGAGTCTTCTGGAAATGACTTCTGGTACAAGTTCATTTGTCCTGGGCTTCTAAAATTGCTTTTCAAGAATAAAGGCATCTTACAATCTGACGCTACATTGATCGTCACTTATTGTCATTTGTTGTTGAAATAAACGTTTGTAAACCCGTGATTGGAATAGATATATTAGCATAGAAACGTAAGAAAATCGTTTCCTTTAATGAATTCTATCTCACAGAATATATTTCAAATAGTAGTTTTACTTTTACTCTAAGTGATTAGGTAATACATGTGGTAATACACAAAATGAATTAGTGCTAGATAACTAGTCAGGTAAACACAGCAACCAAATTGTAAATTGCACAAGGAAATTGATAAGGAAACTACCAATTAGTATAGTGCTAATCCCCTTGTAGCTACACTATTCAAGATACTTCCACACAAAGCTCATGATTCATAACTTCCTCCTCCTTGTGGTACTTGAGAGAAATTCTAGTCTACCTGATGCTCAACTATTTTCTCTAGAAAATTCCTGTTGGGAAAATTAGCAGAAGATGGCACCTTTTGCTTGTAGAATCTTTTGTTGTTGGTGGGGAGGGGGGCTTGAACTCTGGGCCTGGGCATTGTCCTTCAGCTCTTTAGCTCAAGGCTAGCTAGCACTCTATTACTTGAGCTATGTGGTACTGAGGAATCGAACCCAGGGCCTCATGCATGTGAGGCAAGCACTCTACCACTGAGCCACCTTCCCAGCCCCTACGTGTAGAATCTTAAAGCAGTTCACATACCTATCAAACATTTCACCTAAAAGTACATCTTGCCAACTATGCCAAGTCTGTAGCTTCTACAACTTGGGATATTATTCCTATTTTCCTGAGAAAACCTAGCCCGTGGTCATCGGCTTCACCAGAAGGGATGCAACCTGTCCCCGCTGTCTTCACCAGTCTACGATTAGAAGAGACTTGACGGTTTGCCTTTCTGCCTGTATCTCCCTTAGTAACCTACTGATAGACCAAGGAAACTGAGGCACTAATGACACAAAGGCCTATTCCTAACAGTGATTAATCCTGTCATATGATAGAGAAACATCAGCAAATAAAATGCTGCTAAGAAATTCTAAAGGTGCAGTGCCCACGGTTCATGGCTGTCACCCGAGCTGCTCAAGTAGGCTGAGATCTGGGTATCTGGGTTTGAACCCAGGCCAGGGAGAAAAGTGCAAGAGACTCTTATCTCCAATTGACCGGGACAAAAATAAAACAGAATAAATTGGAAGTGGCAGTGTAGCTCAAGCGCTGGAGCATCAGCCTTAATTAAGAAATGCCACATGAGACTACAAAGCCCTGAGTTCAAATCCCAGCACAAAAGGCAAATTAAAAACAACAACAAATGCTCAGAGAAAGACTCAAGGGTGCCTCCCCCAACTAAAAAGAAAGCATAAATGGAAACTGTGAAAATGTCTGTATCCGTCCGAATCCCAGAAGAAAATAGCTGATGAGTGTGAAGGGATTCCAGTTCATGGATGCTTTATGGGGTAGTAGAGCGGACCGGCAGCCGGCTGGTGGCAAGGCATGGCCAGCATCGCCTCTGAAGGACTGGCCTGAGAGAGTCTCCAGGGAGACCAGGGCGTTGGGCAGTGGAAGGCATCGGGCCGCAGGGAGGAGTGAGGAGAATGGATGCCCCTGGCACCCAGGGCTCCCCTGTCGACTGAACAAATGAATGCTAAAGGGCAGGCAGGGGCCCCATGAAAAGGCTGGGTCAGAGCGGGTCAGGACCAGCACTGGCCACTGGGAAACACCCTGAAGTGGGGTCAGAGCTTTGAGCCTTGGCCATCTCCGGGCTACTTGCACTGATTACCCTCGTGGAGTGCGCAATTTTCTAATTAGCATCATCACTTAGAAAGAAGTTACAGGAATCCCTTACAGAAAGCCTACAGTCCCTCCGCAGCCGGCCTGTACCCCGGAGGAGCTCAGGCGGGGGTTCTGGTGTGCAACAGGGCGCGTGCCTGATGGGACCCCCTCCCCCATGCGTGTCCTTCCACTCTCAGCCCCCTCCCCCAATGCTCAGCCCCATTTCTCTGCAGGCCTTGAAGGGGCTGAAGCAGGCTTGGTGTTTCTTTCTGCTGATAGAATCTCTTCCCTCCCGCTGCTATTGATGCACTTCCCCCGGGGAGGGCAAAAGAAATTAAGCCTTAATGAAGATATATAAGAAGAAGTGGGATCATTAGTGACACAAAAATGGATGCTGAAGGGGTGAGAATAGCATGAGCTCTCTCATCTGGGATCCATGCCCTTCCCCAGCCACAGGGGAGACGTGCCCAGAGGTGCGTGTACTCACCAAGGACGGTGACTTGAGTTACCTCAATGGCACTATCCAGAGCAGTCTGCGCAGTACAAGAGTAAAGGCCTTGGTCGTCCAAAGTCACATTAGATATGGTCAAGTTAGCACCATCAATCACTATCCTATTAGGGGGGAAGGAGGAAGAAAAGCACATGATGAGAACAAGGACAACAGAAATACCAGAAACAGAGCTTTCCAAGCTGTCCATCCCCAGATCAACATCTATTGCGTTTATGTTTGGAAATGTCAGAATGAACCCTATCATTTCGTAGCATTCAAAAAAGGCTATGGGACCATCTAATCTTCGATAAGGGAGCTAAAACAATAGAATGGAAGAAAGACAACCTCTTTAGTAAATTGTGCTGGCAAAATTGGTTAACTACATGTAGAAAACTTAAGCTAGATCCTTATATATCACCCTGCACCAGAATCAACTCCAAATGGATCAAAGACCTTGAACTCAAAGCAGACACTCTGAAAACA